TTCTTCTAGTAATCAGGTCAGTAACCATTAGCTCCTCACTTGGAATTTTCATTTTAGCAGGCCTAGAAATGTTATCCAAGATCCAGTTGTCATTGTGGACCCTTATTGAAGAACCATCCCCGATAATGTGATGAACCCCTTTGCGGAGAAGCTCTAAACCATGCATTATAGAACTCCATCCATAGGATTGGTTTGCTCGATTTTTTTCTTGCAAGATGGAGATATTTTTATAGTATCTTGCTTTCATAATTCTTGCGAATAAGGTATTCGGGAATTGAAGCAATCTCCATGCTTGTTTTGCCAACGAAGCATCGTTAAACATTGTTAAATCTTTAAAACCAATACCTCCTTGCCGTTTGAATATTGAAGCCTCTTCCAAGCGATCCATGGTATACCCTTATTTTGTTCACTCTTCTCCCACCAGAATCTCATTAAAATCTTATTGATTTCATCTGTAATGTGAACTGGAAGTTTGAAACAGGACATTGAGAAGACTGGCATAGATAAACCAACTGATTTTATCAGTATCTCCTTACCAGCCGAAGATAAAAACTTTGATTTCCAACTTGAGGTTCTTTTCCTGACCCGATCAATGATATATTCAAACATCTCTTTCTTTTTGCGCCTAAACTGTTCTGGGAGACCTAAATACTTCCCTCCACCTCCATGTTTGGTAATGCCAAGAATCAGTTTTAGTCGCTCTTGTAAGTCTCCTGAGATCCTCGATCCAAAGGTGATTGTTGATTTTTCTGGATTTATCTGTTGTCCAGACCACAATTCTCAAATATATCCTTTAACGTTCTGCAATTTCGGTTATTGGCTTGACAAAAGAACAGAGAATCGTCGGCAAACAACAGATGAGTGATAGATGGAACTCTATTGCCAATCTTCATGCCTCTTAGTTTTCCTTTCTGATGATGAGATTGTATTAGATGGCTGAGAACATCTGCACATAATATATACAGATATGGAGACAAAGGATCTCCTTGTCTTAGTCCTCTTTCTGGAACAATGCAGCCTTGAGGATTACCATTGATTAAAACTGAATATTCCACAGTGTTAACAGATGCCATTATCCAAGAGATCCAACGTGTATCAAAGCCATAAGCTTGCAATGTTTTTTCAAGAAAACTCCACTCAATGCGATCATATGCTTTTGAAATATCAGTTTTAATGGCCATATATGTCTTAGATACTCGCCTTCTTGATTTTAAGGAATGCATAAGTTCTTGAGCTATCAAAATGTTGTCAGTTATCATTCTCCCTGGGATGAAAGCAGCTTGGGATTCCGAGACAATGTCACTAAGAAAGAGTTTAAGACGGCCCACCAAGATTTTAGAAATGATCTTGTAAAGCACGTTGCAGAGACCTATAGGACGGAAATCTGACAGGGTGACTGGTTTTTCTATTTTAGGAATCATACAAATGTTGGTGTGGTTTATATTATGTTTCATTGATCCCGTATTGAAAAAATCTTTGACTTCTCTGATAACATCTGTGCCAATGATCTCCTAACATGATTGATAAAATCTTGCAGTCAAACCATCAGGGCCTGGAGTTTTGTCGGCACCAATTGACTGAATGGCATCTGTTATTTCCTTATCTGAAATATCCCTTGTCAATGTGGCATTCATCTCATCTGTGACTTTCTTTTGAAATCCATCGAAGATATCTTTCTGGCAAGTGTTATGTGTGCTCTTATAAATATTGGAGAAGAAATCTTCTGCATGTTTACCAACTTCTTTATCACCTCTGTAAACGTTCCCTGCATCATCTTTTATTGATAAGATTTTGTTCTTTGTAAAACGTGCTCTGGTACAAGCTTGAAAGAATTTGGTGTTACGATCCCCTTGAGCAAGCCATGTATTTCTACTTTTTATTTTCCAGTATGTCTCCTCATCATGGTACGCTTGGGCCAACTCCTGTTGTATTTGGATAATATCTTCATAAGAAATGTTTGAGGTTGATAGAGCCAACTCCAGTTCAGTTTCAAGTGCTTCAATGCGTTTAGCCGAGTTTAGCTTTGAATTCCTCCGACAATAGGCCATTGATCGCCTACATTCTCTGATACGATCAGAGATCTTTGGATTGTAAATCCTATTATGACAGTTCCATCCTTTTTTCACGTATGTTTTGAAATCATGAACATCAAGGAATCGTTTATCAAATCTGAAAATTCTTTTCCCCAAGTTTTCAGAATAGGCAATGGTTGTGCAAATTGGTCGGTGATCAGACCCGTAAAGACCCAAGAAGTGTGCTTCAGAAGCCGGGAATTCAGCTAACATTTCTGTGTTAACTAAAACTCTGTCGAGGCAACACTTTACTGTATGGTTGTATCTTTTTCCCATCCAAGAAAACATATTACCCTTGTTGCGAAGATCAGTTAAGTCACAACTGCTGTATAGTTCTCTAAAGTCTTGAAAGCTTCTCTCATCTCTTTTTGGTCCACCATCTTTTTCATCATTTGATAAAATTTCATTAAAGTCTCCTAACAAAATCCATGGACCAGAACGTGAATCATTAATGACTTGAAGCTTCTTCCACAACTCATGTCTATGTTTTTGTTGGGGATGACCATAGACACAAGACATGTAAAATGAAACACCATTTACATTAACACCAACATCAATCAACCGTTCATCAGCTACATACTTAACTATAGATACATCTTTTTTCCAAAGCAAAGCCAAACCTCCATTTCTCCCTAATGGAGGGATGGTAATTAAGTTATCAAATCCTAGATACACACACATATCTCTTAATATATCACACATATTTAAGGTTTCAACTAGAAACATGACCTCAGGCTTATGAGTTTTGCAAATATCCTTCAGCCTTTTCTCAGTCGGCGATCCCACAGGTCCAAGACCCCGACAGTTCCAGGAAACGACTCTCATGGGGGAAACAGTGAGGGTACCGGGCCCCCCGCGCCTCTGTCTATTGGAGAGGTGGCTGAACATGACCCTTCTAATTCACCGTATGTTAGTCTGTTCGCTGCAGGACACAGGACCGTCCTGATAAGACTTGGCTGGTATGGATCGCCATACATATCACCATCTTCAATCCTTCAGCGTTTGTTAAAGCCCCCCCCCCCCCACAGTTTTCTCCGCTCTAGTGTAAGCCGCAAACACTTCCATGAAGTCATCTTCTTTGAACTTTCCTTTAGCCATCTTAGCTTGCAAATACCGCACCGTTTCTACAGCAAGATCGTTATGAGGCATGACATTCTGTGGCACGTATTCAGCATCACCGTTGAAACCCACAGACATTGGCTCTAGAGGCAAATCACCAACAGCATCATTTCCTTCATATAGGGATGAGCATTCCTTTCTTCTTCATTGTGGGCTTCATAGCCCTCCATTTCTCCGAGTCCATCCGCATTCCCATCAAAGTTGTCGTCCGGATTATTGTCATCATTTTCATTATCATCAAAAGCATTCAAAGGACACTTCTTAGCATCATGTGTGAGGAGACCGCATTTGTTGCAAAAGTTCCGAAGATGCTCAAACCAGAATTTCAACAAAGTATTTTGATCTACACCAAATTGGAAATTCCTTTGAAAGCGAAGGGGTTTGTCTAAATTCCAATTTACCTTAACACGGACGAAGTCAACCCTCGTGGAATTTGCATCAAAATCCACCGCCACCACATCATCAAGGTGTCTAGCAACAAATCGGATCATTTTCTCCGTGGGGAACTGGAGTGGGATACCCCTGATTTGAATCCAGAATGGAATGATCTTCAAGTATTCCTCCGGTAAGTTCGGTGACCATTGACGAAGCACCAACATCCACTCATTGAAGGACCATGGGCCCCGAGTTAATGTAAGATTCATCGTTTCTTTCGACTGAAAAATGAATTGAAATCGATTTGGTCCGATGATTCTGCCAATAACCGCATTTCCAAGTCCCCACAATCGTGGCATATGGTTTAGCATCGGACGAATTGGTTGCTTCTTAGGGTAGACAGTTGTGCCCACAATCGTGAAACGATTGGCACTCGCCGCTTGAACACAGAGTTCTGCTGGAAGAGAAATTGCGGCATCATCGGCTCCAAGGTTAAGATTTTGAAGATTTCGGCGTATGTAGTCACTCATTTTGGAGGGAATTTGGGTGAAAGAGAAAAGAGTTTTGCAGGGAGAGTTTATATAGGAAAAGGGCCATGGCGGTTTTGGACAGAAATTCACTTCCGCGAAGGAAGAGACAAGGAAACCGTTAGAGATTACTCTTAACGGACATAAACCGACAACTTTGACCCGTAAAAATCGGAAGAAAATTGTTGGAGAATCACTCTCTGTGAAGAAGATTGGCGGTTTCTGATGCCCAAAAAAATCGCCTCTAGAACATTGCCAAAAATAATAACCAAAAATAATCAATCATGCGACTAAATTTTCCTAAATCGGAGCTTTCGAACCGTTGTTACCACAATTTTTTGTTGATATATTATAGAACAAAATCAATATTCCAATACACATCTAGACGTTATTTGTGAAACCAAAATTCACAATTTAATTAATGCTTTGACTAATTTCTAGCAACATCTCAAAAATCATAAATGAACAAAAAGCCATTTGTCTCTGGTGAATCAAAATGATTTTGATACAAAAGTTTTGGTATCAAAATGTCCATTTTTCAAAACTATTGGAAGCATCAGGTTTTTTTATGCTGTGTGCAAATTAGAAGTTCAGCCAAAAAATGCTATCTAAACACACAAATTGCATCTGAACAAGATTAAAGATGGAGAAGAAAAATAACGGATCTAATGATTCATTAGCAAGTAATGCTTATCTACAGAATATATCATTTTCTCATGTATTTTTTTTAGTATATAACACTTATATGTATATATAATAATTTGCTTTACGGAATTTTTGTATATTGATTTTTAACAATATCAATGAATTTGTTTAGACTGAAAAAAAATTAATTTCATAATTATAATTGCTATGATTGTTTTTTTTTTTAAGTTCATGGCTCGTAATTAGAACGCTAAATGGCAGAATCATGGGGAGTTTTTTTCCTCTCTCTCTCTCCTCTCACCTCTATCCTTGAGAGAGAGAGAGCACTTTTTCTCCCTTGTGTAAATTTTCCGATCAATATCGGAAGTTTTCTTCCGTTTAAACGGATAATAATCTCTGGCTTTGTCCGGTAATAAAATTTCGATCGGATTCCTTTTACTTAATGGTTTAAGTAAAGGGTTTTTCTGTTCGAAGTTGTCTTCTACAGAGCTATAACTCCTCTTACATGAGGCAGAGATGATGGTGAATTTCTTCCCCAATTTTGGTATTGTCTTCTCTTGACTGGAGATATTTTCTCCTAAAATATCCTATTAAAGTGCCTTAGTTAAGGCGAAGGGTACTGGGTCTTGAGCTAAAGACGATCGGAGGCTTCCTTCTAGTGGTTAAAGAATGTTTGACCATCTGGAATTTTGTTGGATTTCTGTAGAAGACTTTACATGAAGGTTTTGACAAGGATGATGGAAATCTGGCGAATTTCACAGTTCAACGGATCTTTGATTTTCCCGGCGGAGCAATGTTCCAGAGACGTTCTCGACGGTGCTTCTCCGCAACATCCTTAATTTCAGCCTAAGCCTTACACGTGTAACACACGTGGTTTATTTGTACACATCGTTATCTCTTTAATTTAATGGGTATATGTTGGGCTTAAATGTAAGGGCTTTGGGTTTAAACCTCATGTAATTTGCCCTAATGGGTTTGATGAAATTAAAAGACGACAAAAAAAAAATAATAATAATGGCAGAATCATAAACACTGATACAGTCATATAGCTCAAAACTCTTCTGAAAAATCTGAGCGAAAAAACGTTCTGGCGGTAAAATAAAAAGGGGATTAGGGTTTTATCCGCATATCCTCTCTGTTAACACTTTCGAAAACCCAGACTTCTCTGCAGATTCCGATAACCATGGTGAAAGAGACGAACGCCGGTCAAGCATCCGTCGTCGGAGAAGCGTCGAGCAGCCGCCAAAAGAGGCCACGGCTTCCTTCCACGATTGAAGATGAAGTGGAACGCGTAGAAGAAGAACAAGGCGGGAATGGCGGAGGAACGGCGAGTGTAAATCGGAATGTAGACGGTGATGAGGTGATAACGACGACGGAGGTGCGGTCGGGGACGCTGTTCAATTTGAATCTTCTGGATTGTCCCATTTGCTGTCACGCACTGACGAGTGATATCTTTCAGGTCTTCCTCCTTTTTATAATCCCATGGTTTGATTCAGAATTTTTTAAAACTGTTGTGGTTTATTGTCTATGGATGATTTTGGTAAAACGTTGCATTTAGGAAGATGAGAATCTAAGGAAATGAAGAGTGTAGTCATTGACTAGCAAATATGTGTGAGGAACTCACTGAAATGCTGGTAAAATCATACTTGATATTGATCCTAGTTAATGGAAAACAAGCCATTGAGGCATTGATTCTTGTAATGGATACTGTGAATTTGATTTTGTTATCCCTTTAAACTCTGAAACAAGGTAAGAGAAATGTGGTGAGAACTGAGATCTTGTTGCTACTGAAACAACTGTCACATTTAGAAGATTTCTTTATTGCCTATGGATGATTTTGGGTAAAACGTTGCATTTAGGAAGATGATATTGGAAGGAAATCAAGAATGTAGTCATTGACTAGACACTGAAGTGTTGGTAACATAGCTTTGATATCGTGATTTTCGTAAATAACTGTTTTGATTGAATAGTAATTAGCAAACAAGTCCTGTGACATACAACTTGGAGAAACATTCCTAGATAACATACGAATTACGTTTTTGTAAGCTTATATTTTCGTTGTAGTTTTTTGTAATCAGATTGGATATTGGCTGCCATTTTGAGTAATACAGCTTGTGATATATTGCTTGGTTTCTGTTTGTTTTGCATCTCAGTGTGACAATGGACATATAGCTTGCTCGTCTTGCTGTACTAAACTGAGGAACAAATGCCCTTTCTGCACTTTTCCCATTGGTAACTATCGATGCAGAGCAATGGAGAGAATTGTAGAAGCAATCATGGTCCCGTGCCCAAACGCCAAACATGGCTGCACCGAGAAGCTCTCTTATGGCAAAGAATTAGTCCATGTTAAGGAATGCAGTTTCTCTCTGTGCTATTGTCCTGCACCAAACTGCAACTACAGTGGTGTGTACAAGGATATCTACAGTCACTACGATGCTAACCACAGGAACATATGGCATCAGTTCATTTGTGGCTGTTCCAGAAGCGCATGTGTGAGGATAAGCGGAGGCAGTTTGGTCCTTCAGGAACGTAGAGGTGGTCCATTGGTTGTAGTTCAGAGTTTCAAAGAGCCACAAGGAGTGTATGTGACTGTGAACTGTATAGCACCATCTGCTCCAGGAGTTGGGAAGTTCTCCTATGATCTCACCTACTCGATTGGAGTTAACTCTATGACGTTTGGATCGCGAGAGATGAATAGGGTTCAGAAAGTGAGCTTCCAAACTCCTGAAAAGGACTTTATGTTAATTCCTCACTATTTTCAGAGTCACTGTGGCTATGATGTGTTGAAGACTTTAGAAATTCGCATCCAACGGCCAGCAGAAGAAGAAGAAGAGGACGAAGAGGAAGAAGAAGAAGAAGAAGAGGACGAAGAGGAAGAAGAAGAAGAGGACGAAGAGGAAGAAGAGGAAGAAGAAGAAGAGGACGAAGAGGAAGAAGAGGCTGAAGAACATGATGAAATTGTTCGCAGGTCAACTCGTGAGAAGAAGGCTAACTCCAAGTATCAAGACAAAGTCAAGTAACCAAAGTATTTCTCGTTTTAATTTCTTTTAATTGCAAGTAATGTCAATACTGGTTTCCTGATGAAATAAAGGAGGATTCATAGTGGCTCACGTTCTGTTTTACGTTTCCTTTGTTGTTTAGTTGTTTTTCTTCAAGATTGCGCGAATTTCATCTAACCTTGGTAAAAAAGAAAAGAAATTTCGCCGACAAAGATCCTATGAATGTCCTCTGATTTATGGGGTTTCAGTTATGTTTGGTCCGTTTATTATTTACCCGAATTAAAGAAATTAGCTTCGATTTTGGTTTATGCTCTTCTTTTCCGGTTCAATTCGGTTAGGAACGGTTTAAATCCAAAATGTAAGCATATACCATTGTTCATCTCCGTCTTTCTCGTGTCTGTTCCGAAAATCCAAAGGAAGCTTCGAAACCATTGAAGGAGCAGCAGAGGAGAAACAATGAATTCAGCTCTGATGCTACGTCGTTTCATTTGCTTTAAAGCTTCTGCAACTCTCTCTTCTGTAGCTCCATCTCCGAAAAAGAAGCCTCTCATCTTCTTAGGCTCTCCTCAGGTAAGAGACTTAACAATGTTCGTGTATACATCACTATGGTTTTTACTGTTTAACCCTTTTCTCTAATGTCTGCGAATTAGGTTTCCGTGACTGTGCTTGAAGCACTCTTCGATGCATCTTTGAAACCAAACTCTTCCTTCGAGGTAATACAGTTGTTTAATATGACTCTTTGTTTACAAAATTCTCAATTTCCTTCACCATGAATTGCTGCTGCACCGTCCTTGAACGAAATTTTTAGAGAAAGGATCTTCAAAAGTATGAATGGATTCGAACATTGGAAAAGTTTGAATTATCCATGATTTGAATTCTTGTTAATAGGAAACAAACCATTGATACTTGTTATGGATACTGTGAGTTTGATTATGTTGTCCCTTTCTGAAACAAGATTAAAGAAATGTGTTAAGAACTGAGATGTTGTTGCTACTGAAACAGCTTTGTCACATTTAGAAGATTTCTTTTCTTGCTTTAACCGCTGATTCCGGCTTGTTCTAGGTTGCAGGAATTGTCACACAGCCTCCGGCGAGGAGAGATAGGGGGAAAAAAGTGTTGCCTTCTCCGGTAGCGCAATATGCTCTCGACAAAGGCTTACCTTCTGATCTCATCTTCTCCCCTGAAAAAGCAGGAGATGTGAGGTTTTCTTTGTCTCATATCAACTTCTTACTTGTGATCATTCGTTCTTTCTTGTGAAGACAATACCTCATTCGTTGTTTCTTCTATGCAGGAAGCATTCTTATGCACTTTAAGAGATTTGCAACCTGAGCTTTGTGTTACAGCAGCTTATGGGAATATTTTGCCTACCAAGTTCCTTAATATTCCAGTACATGGTTTGTCGAAATCGCGAAAATGATGTTGTTTCTCTACACTGCAAAAGATTCTTGTGTTTTGAAAGTCCATGTTTACTATGTTTAGGGACGGTGAACATACATCCAAGTTTGTTGCCTCGGTACCGTGGTGCTGCTCCTGTTCAAAGAGCATTACAGGTGCAATTTTTCTTACTTATTCGACTACATGCTAAGGCACATAACTCAAGATTTCACAATAACAACACTTGGTGGCTGCACTAGGATGGTGTCCCAGAAACAGGAGTATCGTTAGCATTTACGGTGCGGAAGCTAGATGCAGGGCCAGTGATTGCTTCCAAGAGGTTCCAAGTGGATGATCAGATAAAGGTTTATATACTTTTATCTCTCAAAGTAGCTGATCATTTCAACATATTTTTCTGGTCTTAAATCTCAATGACCAATGGTATCCTTTTGCAGGCACCAGAACTACTCTCCTTCTTATTTTCTGAAGGTAATCTCTTTGTTCTTATGCTTATACATTTCAGGAAAGGTCATCTGAATATTGCAGATGCTATGATTAAGGATTTTTAGGAGTTCCTCAGCTTATCTTTCGATTCGGAAAAAAACTTTGCAGGGTCAAAACTTCTTATCAGTGAACTTCCCTCGATATTTGATGGGTCAGCAAATTCAAAAGCAGTTCCCCAAGATGATTCTAAAGCTACTTTAGCTCCAAAGGTATGTATGATTACAAGACAAGGCAAAGACATCAGAGTATTGATCTCTGTATGAGATCATATATAATCTGATTCAATTGATGCACAGATGGCTCCAGATGAGGCTTGGCTCTCTTTTGACCAGGAAGCTTTTGTTCTACATAACAAGGTAGAAACCCTTTCTTTCGTTCAACTAATCTACAATCAGAAACATATATATATATATAAAACTGCTTTCTAGGTTCGTGCATTCGCAGGATGGCCGGGAACACGAGCAAAAGTTGTAGTCCTCGATGACAAAACCGGCCAGCAAAACGTGCTAGAGCTTAAAATCATCACTACTCGAATTTGCCAAAATACAGAAATCCTTAATGGTGAACAAGATTATGTAACTTTCGAGAAAGGCTCGTTGCTGTTTCCCTGTGGAAGTGGTACAGCTTTGGAGGTAAAGCTATAAGATGCTATGATGCTAACCACAGGGCAGTGTTGATTCAAAGGGACACTAATCTTAGCATTTTGGTGTTTTTGCTCATTCAGGTACTGGAAGTCCAACTTCCTGGTAAGAAAGCGATCAATGCGGGTGCGTTTTGGAACGGCTTGAGAGGTCAAAAGCTGAAGAAGCTATGAAGACAGTGACTGTACTTTGTTGTAGCGTCGAAGCAAAAGCTTTGGTCAGGATATTAGTCTTTCTAATTTTATTCTGTTACGACTAATGTCCCCACATTCTTTGGTATAATGTACGATTATTCTCAGAATCTTCTTCTCAGAGGTTGAATAATTTTTGTGTACAGTGGTTTAGGAGATGGAAAAGTTTTATACCAAACAAAAATCTACAGACAAACCTTCGTCACTAATATATGTAACTCGTTAGAATATTCAACATAGTAACTAAATCAGCATTAGCATCATAACAACATCTGTGCAAGTACAGATCCCAAAAATGTCTATTCGAAGAAAACCAGCGTCGATACGATGTCTAAGTGGCCATATAGTCTCCATGACTTTCATCCAACATCTCGACCACAGGAGCGTACTGCATCATGATGTGACAGTCCGTGAGCGAAAGAAAAGAAAGAAATCAAACGAAGCTTAAGACAATACATTTACCTCATCATCCTCCTCAAAATAGATCCCGTCCATAGCACTCTTCTTCTGAAACTCCCATCCTAATCTGTTCTCAAGCAACTCTTTGAACTTTCTTGTCTGCAAAAGACATTGCGTGAATAGAAACCTCATGAGGCATGACGATAAGGGTTGTGAAAAAAGTAATCTGATCTTTTATATGTAGAATCTTGTACATACCCACGACAGTAAATCTCCATCAACCACAGTCGCTTCTTCCACTAATGCAAAGAAGTCCTGTTATCAGAAACAATGGAAGTTGGAACTCAAATCTTCTAGTTCCCTCCCAAAACGAAAACATGTCGCTAGTCAAAGATTTACCTTGCAAAGCAAATGAAGAAAGCTATCGGAAGCTAGCCAAGAATCATCAAGAAGAGCATGAACGCCCATCTCAGGACCACTACTATCTTTCTGCAGTCCATATTTTAGTTGATGGTAGATGACTTTGATGAACTGTAATAAATGCCATCATGGTGAAGAAAAAAAAAATTACTAGAATTATAATTTGTAAAGCCTGAATAGTGTATAGGTTTACATATCATCTAGATGCATTATTGAATATACTGTTTTAAATGAAAATTGACGAGATTTACCTTTGTAAATAGTTGACTCCTTGTATGAAAGGGCTGCAAAAGGTCACAAAGAAATCTAAATGTCAAAAATAAAAAAAAATCACGAAGTTGAACTTTCTGAATACAGTGAGTAAACATATAGAAGAAGCATAGAGAGGAAGATAGAATTCTTTATATTAACAATATGGAACTTCAAAATCACATACCGCATCGATGCAGCCAAGTAAAAGACTAACTAAGGACTTCCACTGCATGAAGGATTCAAGAGACTGCCCCATCTGCACAATAACGTGACCACCTTGAGCTGAGAATGGAAAAAAATATATATATGCAATGTGTGTGTACGAGCTTAAATAAGTATATGTTACAGTAAGGAGTACATACCAAAAATGCTACAAATGAAAACTGTAGCTCCCCAAGAAGCAAGTCTTCCGAGGCTTTGTACTCCTTCGACAATACGCTTTCTAAGAGTTGAGTCTATGCAAAGAAGTAAAGGGAAATGACATAAAGTAAGCAAACGATTTTGATGATTAAACATCCACCAAAAAAAAGCAAAGAGGAATCATCTGTTACCTTGTCAAGGTTCATAGAGGTTAGCTCCTGCCCAGACATTCCCTTGTGCTTTATAATCCGAGGAATACAAGTATAGTAAAACCTATTCCCTTTGGTTTGCTCAGTAGATGATTCCTTAGACTTGATTTTCTTCATCTGAGCATCAAGTGCTTTTTCCATTGCGGTTTTAGGTCCACCTTTTAGAATAGCAGATTCATAGACGACTGTTATTTCTCCTCCAACTGGCTCTGCAAAATTGAACATATAATTTTGAAACAAGCGAAAACATAGAAAATGTGGTTAAAGAATCCACCAAAAACTAAGGTTCACGTACCAAATTTTTCAACAACATCCTTCGTTATGTAGTTAGATAGGTGCTTCCATGCCCCATATTGACTTAAATTGTATGGACCAAGATGTTTGTCAAACTCTAAATTCCTGACTGCTTGAGAATATCTTTCTTCCTGGTACCAAAGAGAGAAGACTATTAATAAATAATCAAACACTAATTCTCAGGCTTATGCGCTAGTGGCTACTACAGCATTAATATTGTTCTGTTCAAGTTTCAGAAGAACAGATTTGATTAAACTAATGTCCATTAGTTGTAACAAAGATGCAAATTACTAATAATCAACCAAAATGCGAATTACTGACCGAAGTATAAGCAGCAGTGAGAAAATTACTGCACTATTAAAAGGACAAACCTCTTCTTCTGATACTTTGGCCAACCACTCGTCTTGCTGGTTCCATTTGCGTACAATAACCTTGTGACAGATAGTGAAAAAATATCTATGGTTAGTTTACACAACTCCATGGTGCTACTCACAATACATCAAATACAAGACAGCAACATGGCTAAATGATATCTGCAGATTTTGTTTTCTAATGTAATAACAATCTTTCTGCAATCTCCAGGGCAACATGAATATGAGACCAAAAGATAACAAATGAGACAAAATAGATTCCAAACCTGAGAAGGACCAACATCAACAAAGAAACCAATGGTAGGTGAAAACTCCTTACCATCCCTGGAAAAAAAAAATACAAGTCTGCAATTATCAGCCTAATCAAAACAGATATCATGGGTTTTTTAATGGAGTTAACCACGTTGTTACACTTTATACAAAAGCACCAAAGAAAAAGAATCTTTTAAGTAAAAAATAAGATTCGAACCTGGTTGATGAACTATAGAATACAAAGTGAATTCCAGGAGGGATCATCTTAATCCCTTTGAAATCTGGTCCTACTATGAACATCTGCAACAAGAATTCATGAAATTGTTAAGATACGCAAATTCCACTAACTGTAAATCTGATCAAGCCTTAAGTCTCCATTGATTAAAAAAAGTGTTATAAGAAGATTTCACTTTTGGTGTTCTGTATCTCTTCGAAATTTTCTTCAGGTACACCAAATTACATCACAATTCATTCCCCAAAAGAATCTTCAAAACATTCAAATCTCAAAATTTACTAATAAATGACAATTAGAGTCCCATATCAAATTCACAACTCACATAAACCTTTTTCCTTCAGGATTCTACTAACACGAAATTTAAACAAGAGAATCAGTTTCACATCACAATACTGCTCAAAATTCACCATACTAACGCTCAAGAACGAGTTGAAAAAACAAAACCCGAACTCAAATTCCAATATCCAGACTCAATCCCCATTTCTAGAAACTTGCAAGAAGAAACTCACCTGAGTATCGATTCCAACGAAAGTATGTTGAGGAACGTCGAGGAAAAGAAGCGTAGCTCCATGCTTCACAAGCTCTAGTGCCTTCTCAGAATCCATCTCTTCCTTCTTCCTTTACCCATCGAAGAGAGCAAGACGACGAGTAGATTCTGCAACAATTTTCATCAGCCCACTAATGAGGCCTACTAAAAATTTGGGCTGTTCGAGCTTGGCCCTGTGATCACGTGACGTTTTGGATTTTTTTTTTTTTTTTGTCATCCACAGATTTTAATAAATCCATAAAAGGTAAAGATGTACATGCCGAAAAAAAATTCTTCACACCTCCGTAAAAGCCACCTCCGATCATCGCTTACTCGAGCTTTATTGTAGGACCAAAATTATTGAACACTATGTAAAAACGATTAAAGTACGAGATAAAATATAAATGTTAAGGTAAAAAAAAAAACGAATGGAAGTGAGACTATGATCTTTTTTCTTTTAACACTTTGAATTGTTCATAGTGCACAACTTTTTGTGATCCAAGAGTTACAGGATACAACCATACTTATCTGTTTTCACAAGTACTAAGAAACACGGATCTCTATTATTACTTCTATTATACTCTAGGTAAATGAGAAATGAGTGAGCGACAAAAATGAGAAGAGAGTGTCGTGTATATATAGCAGAGGAAGAGATTTGGGCAATCTGCAAAATCCCGCAAAATCCGAGAGGATCTTAACCCCAATTTGAATGAAGTCAAACGCAAACATAGGCAAGGTGGGCGATGTTCCTCTTATTCGAACAAGTATAAAACTTGTCGTAATATATAGAAGAGATTTTCCTACCAAATTATCGATGTGAGACAAATACACTCGTTTAAAAAAACAAACCAACATTTAGTATTGGTCAATTTTCTCTTCACACTCTAATTTTTAATAAACTCATTTGGGCTTTATAAACTCGGTCCAACACTTATCACCTTTTACTTTAGAAAGATTCTTCATTTAAGGGAATTTAAGGAGATATAAACTCCCAGCCAAGAGAGGACAATGCCAGTTGTTGGAGTTGAAGCTTCCACCATTATTGACGGATCTGAGCCTTACTTCCTCATGCAAGAGGAGAATCTAAAACTGTAGAAGAAAAACGTAATCCGACAAGGATAAACCTTTTGCTTTATCATTTGAGGTTTCAATTAAATCAATTCTTCAATCTTATTGAGAATCTTTGCTCCACTAAGGACTATCGAAGAATATATCTCCCACAGATATAAAGAACCGATCTTAGATAGCAAAAAGAAGACCAAAACGGAAAACAAAATCCAATAAACGGAAAACAACAATCCGACTATAAAAGATATGAAACAACAAAATATTTTATTTAAGTCAGAATTTGAAATCCGATTTAAATTGGAAAACAAAAAAGAACACCGTTCTCTCTCTCCGAAAGCTTTTGAAGAGGGAGAGAAAAAAAGAGTTTTCTCCTATCCGCGAATTCCACATAATGTTTTGGATAGACACGTCTTATTCACGAGATTTGTATTTTTTTTTTAAAAAAAATTATAGTTGGTATACCTAAAATTTTTTTAAACTTATATATACATATAGAGAAAAAAAAATTTTGGGCCAAAAAAGCATTTTAAAAATAGATATAGGTTACACTCTACAAGACAAATACTCTATTTTAGATATGTAAACTATTATTATTAGAGAATTTATGTTTTGTTCCAAATGTTGTAGTCATTATTCACAACTAAACTCGCTCCACTTGTGATGTAGAAATCCATTTCCCTGAAAGATGGTAGATATAAGAAATTAACACTGATGTAACCAA